TTAGGCGAGAGACATTGGTATAATTTGGACTTTCTCCTGGAGTGGGCCAAGTTCCTTAAAAATTTTGAAATTTTCGAATTTTGAAAATCTAGAATTTTGGAATTTGGAAAATTTTAGGATTTATAATTTTGTAATTTAAGAAGTTTGAAATTTTTGAATTCTTGAATTTTGGGAATTTTGGAATCCGCAAATTCTGGAATTTGGAAATTTTGAACAATGAAATTTTTGAATTCTACAATTTTAAAACTTTGGAATTTTGGCACTCTGAAATGTAAGAAACTTTAAACGTTGAAATTCTAAAGTTTTCAAATTTTCAAATTTTAAAATGATGAAGATTCACATTTTTAGGGAGGGGTTGGCCCAAATTTTTAAGGGGAGTGGGGGACTCACCCTGGTCTTTAAGTACCTAGTTAGACCAATGGCAAAAGACTTGAGTGCACGCGCGTGTGTGAACAATTCATGTGAACACGAGGCATTTCTAACGGCAAATTACACAGGGTGCCTCAGGTCGGGCAGTACAACCGGGAAGGGAGTGATTCTATAAGAAAACTTTCTATTAGCCGAATTTTTTCTGTTTGAGCTTTCGTTTCAATAAAAATGGAATTCAAATATTCGTTGAATACATTTGCACTCATAACAAAAGTACCGGAGGTGTAACTCACCGATTTTCTCATACGTGCTAATTCGTTCATTTAAGAGAAAAAATCGCCATCAAGTGTTATCCCGAAGAACTGTTTTTTTCTAGATATCTCGAGAACGAATTGGAATTTTTTAATAAAGCTAACGGTAAACTATTTGTTATAAAAGGACAATATTATGGACATTAGTTTTATCCTAAACAGTCCTAGGATCCCCTAACTTATATAAAGAACAATAATATTTTTTTAATCCTTCGTTCGAAAACAAAAGCACAAACAGTAAAAATGTATTGTTTTTTATCGGCTTATTTTTGCTTGTAGAATCATCCTCTGCTCGGTTGTACTACCCGATCTGAGATACCCTGTATGTTGGGGAATTAGAGAGCGCCAACTATATTAGAGAAATATTCAATAATTAATTACTTGAAATACCGGGCAATATTATCTCGGCGAGATACTGAACAGTATTGAAATGCTAGAGGTAATTTATTACACAGAATTACTAATGCTAAAATATAGGCAACAACAAAAGTTTGAAATTTACGTAAACCATTTATTTCTCGAAAAGGTCATTTACGAAACAATGTGTAATACTAATATCCTGTAAACAAGTATCGAGTTTAGCAACATATTCAGGTGAAGTGAAACAGTTGCTGCAGGGTGTACGTGTCAAAAAGTTTGTTTTCTCCAAAATGCGAAAGTTGCTCCTAAGTCTTAAGCGACTGTGTGATTGTGTATATTTTGTCAGCTGTCGAAGATGTTAAGGACAAATGTTACAGGAGAAAATTGATCTCGGAAGAAAAATTGGTCACAGCTGTGAGAAGATGGAAATACTCAAGAAATATCATAACATGTAGTTTGTGTAGTGTTAATGAATGTAGATATACATTGTTGTTCTATTTCTGAAGTTTGTAAACAAAAGTTGGGTATAGTTCCGAATAGCCCCGGCGGAGGGGGGAGGGGGAAGACCCCAAATATCAAACGGTATCCACATCAGACCAGTAGTTTTAGAGATATTAATTAAAAGCTTCCGCAGAATACATAGAATTCTGCATATACAAACATGACTAACACAACCATCCCCGCTGTAGAAATCGTGGTCGTCGAGTGTCAAGTAGCCGATGACACAGTAGGGGGCCTCGACCTGAGTATCTATAGGGTGTCTCAGATAAAATAATTTCAATTTGGGTATACTTCCGAAAGGCCCCCCTACCCTAGGACAACCAAACTTCGAATTTATAGTAATTGAGGGACGAGAAATCGAATGAGATCATTTTCAGAACTGGCAAATAAACCGTTCTCGAGACATACAGGGTATTCTAAAAGTGTGGGACCCCCTGGTTACCTCGATAAGAACGCATTTCCACGGAAAATGACTAAAACAAAAGTTGTAGGGGTCTTAAAGTATTATTTTGTAGTGACCTTGAACTTAACCTTGCATGTTAGGGTTAGGGTTAGGTTAGGGTTAGGTTAGGGTTAGGTTAGGTTAGGCGGAAGGTGCCTGGTGGGTGTAGTCGCTAACCCACTCAGGGTAGCTTTTTCGTCCCTAATTCAACATTCCTTACGCCGACAACGGGTCAGGTGTTGGGTTTTCCCTACACGAAAACGATAATTGGCACCCCCGTGTCTGGATAACGTTAAGTTCAAGGTCACTACAAGATAATACTTTACGACCCCTACAACTTTTGTTTTAGTCATTTTCCGTGGAAATGCGTTTTTATCGAGATAATAGGGGGGTCCCACACTTTTAGAATACCCTATATATCTCGAGAACGGTTTATTTGCCAGTTCTGAAAATGGTCTCATTCGATTTCTCGTCCCTCAGTTACTATAAACCGGAAGTTTGGTTGTCCTAGGGTGGGGGGGGCCTTTCGGAAGTTTCCCCTTCAATTTTTCAAAGTAATTATTCTTGTGTTTTAGGCCGGCGGAGGCGCTTTGCCCTTCACCACCGCCACGGAGAATATAACCTAACCTAACCTACTACGGTTTGATATTCGTAGACGAATAAAGTGTTACCTTCTGTTCGTATATGTATAACTGGCAAATTCGCCTTACATATGCCTTACATTTTTGGGTAAAATTCTGTGTAAAGTTGTATGCGAATATTTCGACAGCTTGTTATTTCCATTAAAAACAAGAGTCATATTCGTATTCAGCATATCAAAACGAGTAAAACGACGAGATTAATGTAAACGTGAACCACAGTTTACAAAGTAATGCGCTTTATACATATAGGACACCCTGTAGATACCCAGGTCGGGACCCCCTGCTGTGTCATTGACTGCTTGACGCGTGACGACCACGGTTTCTACAGCAGGAACACGTCTGTATAGGCAAAATTCTATGTATTCTACGAAAGTTTTTAATTAATATCGCCGGAACTACTGGTCTGATGTGGAAACCGTTTTATATTTGGGGTTTTCTCCCTCCCCCCTCTCCCCCCTCCAAAGCCCATGTCGATTGGCCACCGGGGCAATTCGGAACTACAGCCATATTTTTAATTAATAATAGTAAGTTTCCATCATTTTTTTTATCAATCCTTATCATTAATTATTTATTATCTGTTTAGGAGAAATTATATTTTTAATCGTATCTTTTACTTATTAAAAAATTAATAGTTATGTTGATATTTCGAGAACAGTTACTTGTTTAGAATAATTAACTAAATTTAATGTAATTTAATTTAATTTAGTAAATTCTAATAAATGAAAAATTTGATCGATATATGTTGTAACGTGGTGCCACGTGTGCCCCCCCCGTTACAATCGCTGCGCTTCTCCCACTTCCCGCTTCAATATTAAATCCACCAATAACCCTTCCCTTACCTAACTCCTTTTCCCACCCGCCGGTAACGGGCCGATGGAGACGACAAAGAAGACCCTAACAAGCTGCCAACGGAGCTTCGAGGCCGACGACAGAACCAGCACCCCTCCCCAGAAAGGGAGCAACCCGAAACAAATAACCGAAATCCACCAGCCCAATAAAGGCAGCAAAAGCAACCCATGGAGACATCTGTCGCCGAGCCCGAAGAACACAGCCCGCAGCCGTCATCGCCGAGTTCCCATCCGCCCTATCGATCCCGATTACCGGCAGATCGATAATCGATCAATCCTACTCCCGGAAGAGGTCCCAATTTAACGCCGCTGCCGCGACGACGAGCCGCGAATGAGCTTTAGGCAACCGATACGATAGCGAATAAAGAGCGATTTTGAGTAGCGAGTCAGAGCGATACAGAAATTTTGAGAAAAGCGAGTTTTGTGAGGAGACAGAGCGTGAGTGTGTGTGTGCCGTGTCCAGCGCATTGGTGAGACCCTAAATTATTATTGTAAAGTCTGAGACGGTCCTCGTAACGGCTGCCTTCTCGTCCGCGTATTTCGTATCTTCTAGTTCGCGGATCACGCCTTTCGCGTCCGGTATTACGCGCGTTTGCGATAACCCTTTCCCTACCCTTACAGTTCCCTTCTGCATTTATCCTCCAACGCGTAACGTAACGAACTTTCCAGAGAACCCTTCCCGACCTTTGAGATTCCCCTCCCCCGACAATCCTCCTCGCGTACTCCTCCGCGTAGTAATTGTTACGGCAACCCAGGATAGCCACGTAACCCGTCTCCTGTAATTTCCCGATTTTTCCTTTCTTTAGTTGCCACCGCGAGTGGCTGGCGCCTAACGAATTGTAATCGCAATATCACGAAATTTGTAGAAGTGTAAAAAGGATAATAAAATATAGAGTGCGCCCACGTAAAACGGGTCACAATGTATACATACACAGTAATTAAAAAATAAGAGTATAAGATTATACTTTATTTTATTAACTTAAATGTTTGTGCACAAGAAATTTGAATATTTATAACTTACAAATATTTCACATCATCTTTATTTCTTAAAAGTTATTTATTAATTTGTTGTAGCCTCTCGATTTTAAGGTTTAGTATTCCATATTTTTAAAGTTGAATTTCACAAGAGTCACCCTACTCTATTTAATACCCTATTTGACGCCCCTGATAGTACACATGTATAAAAAAAGCTCAGGGAATATAGTAAACTCTCGTTATATTGCCACATGAGTGATTTGACCTTCATATGAATTTATAAACATATTAGTGCTGCTCTTTCACCATCCAAAGAAGATAAAATACTTGCAAATTTTCCGTTGCTACAGTCCCATCAGCGGTAATATAATGAGAGTATGCTGTAATTATCGTTACTTATACAAAGCTATAAGGTATACATTGGTCATTTTGATATAAAGTGAAGAACAAAAAAAAGACACTTAACACACACTTTAATTCAGAAAGTAAAACATTTAGTAATTTGTACATTTAGTGGTTTGACATAAAGGGGATGATAAATAACTGCACTCACCTATAGTGATCCAACCGTGGGACAACGTCCCACAGTCCACTGACATTTAGGGTCATTGGTAACCTCTTATTATTTTGACCTCCACCAATTACCTCATCATCCATAGCTTTAAGTACAAGTCAACTGCGATTCGTTGAATCTGAAAGAAAGAAACAGAAGAGAAACTTAAATATTTTATTGTTAATCGCTTTTTTAAAAATTGGTAATTCTTTGATTTCTAAATATTTCATTTAAAATAATTGTTTAACGTTCTTTTATTTCATAGTGTCTCTCATTAAAAATAGAAACAATTGGTAACCCAAATTTTTTATAGACTACCATAATCATAAACGAGAAGATATCACACTACAAATTAAATAAATACGAAGAGAACTACCTTCAATCTACGAGTATAAAAATAAAAGACTCAACCGGTTCATTAGTCATAGCAGCAGTATATTGCCTACCACGACATATAATACAAAAAGAACAATTCGATAACTTCTTCAGTACCTTAGGTGAGAGGTTTATTGCAGGAGGTGATTTCAACGCAAAACATCCGCAATGGGGTACAAGACTCACTAACCCCAAAGGCAGAGAACTCCAAAAAACAATGTTATCAAGAGGATACAACCACATTAGTACAGGCAAACCCACTTATTGGCCAACAGATCCAACAAAAATACCAGATCTTTTCGACTTCTATATTGCAAAAGGTACTTCGTTAAACAACATTAACGTCTATCCAAGTTTTGACCTCTCTTTAGATCGTTCTCCAGTTATACTAACAATGAGCTCAGGAATTGTAGAAAAAGAAAGACGCCCTTCCCTGTACACCTGAAAAACTAACTGGAATGTGTTCAGAACACACGTTAATGAAACTATAGACTTAACAATCTCTCTAAAAACAGAAGATGAAAATGACTACACAGTCGAGGTGTTAACAAAAACGCTGCAAACTGCGGCATACCAGTCTATATCATGAACCAAAGCTAAAGGTGATTACACAATAAACTACATGATATGGCAATATTCTAGGCATCCCGAAGACAAGAGATAATTGAACAAGCTGTCCAAAGAATTGAAAAAACTCCTAAACAAAATAAAAAATGATAATATTCGGGAATACATACAAAATTTGTACCCCTATCTGGAACAAAACTATTCATTGTGGAAAATCACAAAAAAACTAAAAAGACAAACAAGCATATCCCACTCCCATACAAAACGAAGACAACACATGGGCTAGAAAGGATCACGACATAGCTGAAACTTTCGCAATACGTCTCTCTAAGGTCTTCAAACCTAACGACAACTCCGCACCCGACTCAGAAGACAGTGCAATAATGGAGTATCTTAATACTCCACTACAACCAAGCAGACCTATTGAACACATCAGTCCCAACGAAGTGATAAAAGAGATAAAACCTCTTAACGACAGAAAAGCACCAGGATACGACTTAATAACCGCTAAAGTTCTAAAAGATTTACCAAAAAAAGCAATAGTTGCAATATATAACCCAAATATACAATGCGATACTCAGAACACAATACTTCCCAATTCAATGGAAATTTACCGAAATAATTCTTATACACAAACCAAGTAAACCCCCAACAGAGGCAGCCTCCTACAGACCGATCTTGCTACTACCTCCTCTCAAACTTATTTGAAAAGTTAATCCTCAAATGACTGAAACCAATACTTAGGGAAAACTGTTTAATACCACTGCACTAATTTGGATATCGGGAACACCACTCAACAATTGAGCAAGTTCACCGTATAGACAACGAAATTAAAAAAAGCTTCAAAGAAAAAAAGTATGCTCTGCAGCATTTATAGACATATGGTAAGTCAAGCATTCGACAGAGTCTGGCACTCAGGCCTACTGTACAAAATTAAACGACACCTACCATTCAATTACTACATGTTATTCAAATCCTACCTAAGCGAAAGATATTTTCACGTCAACCAAGATGGTAGTTACTCCAAAATCTACCCTATACTAGCAGGGGTTCTACAAGGAAGCGTCGTAGGTCCTACCCTGTACCAGATCTTTACTGCAGACTTACCATGTAGTGAAAATATTATCACAGCCACGAATGCAGATGATACTGCATTTTTAGCATCGCATGAAAACCCCTCCGAAGCATCAAGACTCTTGCAGGAATCTTTAGAAATGACATCTGAATGGGCCAAAAAGTGGAAGATAAAAATTAATGCACAAAAGTCAACGCACATCACCTTTACTACAAGACATGTTACATCCAGAAGTCAAACTAGATGGCAAAAGATTAACCACAAAAGATAATGTAAAATACCTAGGTATGTCCCTAGACAAAGGACTCGCATAGAAAAAACATACAAATGAAGAAAAACTAGAAGAACTAGATCTAAAAATGAGGAGCCTGTATTGGATTCTGGGATACAGGTCAACCCTTACTTTAGAAAACAAAGTGCTTTTACACAAAGCTGCAATTATCCCTATATGGACGTATGGCATTCAGCTTTTGGGATGTGCCAAAAAAAGCAATCTAGATATTATCCAAAGGTCTCAAATAAAAGCTCTAAGAACGGTAACTTTTGCTCCATGGTATGTCAGTGGAGTCATTATGTACAAAGATCTCAAAATAAAATACACCAAAGAACAAATAGAAAGATTTGCAACAACGCGCAAGAACCAACTAGAAAATCATCCCAACAAATTAGCCGAAAATTTAAAACGCGCACTAAAACTCGGAAGATTGAAGAGGACAAAACCAACCGATCTACAATGAATTAAAACAATGCACGCGCATTGTATTTAGTGGAAACACTACTGACAATGAGTGTCATCCACCTGCACAATAGAATACCATGTATCGAATATGCTGGTTGGCTCCAGAACCAGTTGTAAATATAAAATAAAAAAAAAGTGGAGTAAACATTTTTATTTTTAGTAAAATATTCCTTTAACGCAATTAATACAATTTTACTAATTTTAAAATTAGTAAAACATTCTGAATTCTAAATTTCAAGTTCCAATCGTGAAACATTCTATTTTTAATTAAATAACAATTTTTATTCTTCCATATAATGGTTTGTTCATTCATAAGATACGTTACTTTTACGTAACATAGTTCTAGAATTTATTGTTAATTGGCAAGTCAACATGCAAATTGTTCGTGCTATGAATATTCACAGAATTGGAAATAATACAACAAATTCTATGACTCAACAAGTGACAAATAGGAAGTTCGATTGCATAAGGTTTTTCATGAGAAACAATGTTACACGTATAAAGTGCTAACATGAAACTATTACAGAAATTGTTCTAAGTATACCAATTTACACTTAGAACTAGTATGAAACATGCGTGATATGCATATTTTCAGTCTTTTCACAAATTCATTACACAAGTGCATGTTAATAACATTGAATGGTATTTCTCTGTCATAAAGGGAAGAACATTTAAGTTAACAAAAATAATTTATAGATTTTTTAATAATTATTGAAAAACAGAGCTTGTTGAACAAAGAATATCACAAGGCAAATATTTTTAGTAAATTATAACTTACATCCGTTAGTGTCTAGGATATTTTTTAGGAGCAGACTTTACAAAATTTTAAACCCTCAGAATATTAGAATATTAAAATCTTAAAAGATTTAGAATTTCAGAGTTTCAGAACTTTAGAATTTATAGTTTCAAAATGGTGGGTCCACATTTTTGGGAGGGTTTAGGGTGGGCCTACCTAATTACGCCAATGTTTATATCATGATTTTAAAAACTACTTTGTCGATATTTAACGTTATTATTATTAATTAGAGATTTTTTACAACAAAATCCTGATAAGATCATCGCAAGTCCTATAAAATATATTAAAGAATGCTTTCACTAAAATTAGACATTCAAATGTTTTAACGAAACACTTTCATACATTGGAAAATTAATATTTAGTTAAATAATCTGAAATTTTGGAAATGAAAATGAAAAGAAATCTGAAATTGAAAATAAATAGTAGTTCCTTCTATAGTAGTTCACTATTCAAGGATTGAATAAATTATACTTTTTGTGGATATTTGTTCTTAAATCGGCATCTGGCGATTAAATTGAATTAAAGTTAGCGTTTTTGTTCACTAACTTCATTTAAATCTTTTGATGTATTCAAAATAATTTTATTTAAATATAGTGAAGTGATAAAATTTACCGGCGAGACTTCGGGAAACCATCACTGATTTAGATCAAATTTTGCAGAGAAACTCCTTTTTTTGCAAAAGGAAACATCTGTGACAACGATTTTCGGCGACTCAATAACATTTTTTACCATTTCGATGTCATTCCCTACCTGTTCCAAACATAATTCGCATCTTCAGATCCGCAGAATACACATTGTAAACAGCATTTCCATGTAAATAGTATATGCATTAACAGTATTCAATATTACCGCCCTCATCAAAAACTACTCCAAACCTACTCAGACAGTACTTCCGTGTAGGCATCAAAATGGTAAAAAATTTTTTCTCGAGTCGTCAAAAACCATTCTCACCGATGGTTGTTTTCGCAAAAAGGAACTTATTTGCAAATTTGATCTAAATCAGAGTATGGCAGTTTTTCGAAGAACAGCCAATTTATCTGTAATGATACATGATGAAATATGAACATTATTGGGAATGCTTGAAGAAACTATATGAATTTTTACAAACATGTTTTAGAAATGTTTATCCATTTAAAGAATTTTAATTTCATTCAAAGTTTATTCAATACATGTAGACAAATTGCTTTTCAAATCTGTTATTATATACTTTCTTTGAAATGTTTAAAAAAGCTGTATGAATTTTTTAGATCTAAAAAGTTTGTACCCATTGAAATATATGTTGGACATAGATGACCCACGTTTACGTTTCAAAGATACTAAGAATATATTTACAGGGTAGTAGTTAAGCCTTGAAGTACTAAAATTAGTGCGTAACTCCAGTTCATATGGCATCTACACATTAGTTCAAAGATGCATAAATTCCTTTCAAATGATTAGGATTGCAATGTTAATTACTCGTCATCTGCGGCAGAAATATATCATCTTGACTAATTTCCTGTTTCCGAGAAGATTCACAAATTTGTCATTGCGCTGTCAGTGTGCCGGAAATCTT